TCAAGAGCCATGGGGATAAATCCTTTTTACTATCTCGATATAGGCTATCGATTGATGTATGTTTGAAAGAAATCGGGGTCGGACAGCTAGGAATGTTCCATCGTGAGTGGAAATGGACAGTGGTTGATGTAGCTTGTTCGATCAAAACCGATTGCAAATTCGTCTTATCTATAGTCAATTATCTGGTGCGCAATAATTTTTCCATCGAGTAGGGTAGTTATGGGAGAGGTCAACCCAACGATATTTTTAACCGCTTTGTAGCGCACATCGAGTTACATATATTCTGATAGTTTTTTCAGCAGAGAAAGTTGAACTTATTGAAGAAATTTTTTCTATTGTCTCATTTTGCAACTAAAAAAATTTCAGAGTCGACTTATATGCGTAGTAGCTGAGTTATAATTTTTCTAAAGATGGCTATTCTATTTAAAATTTTAATGACATTTCCATATTGCAAAACTAATTTCTCAGCTAGTATAGGCCTGTTGGGAGAAATTTCTTCATCACATATGTAACTCGATGTGCTTTACAAAATACAAGAACAAATCCGGATCAAAAAGTTATCGCATACCATATAATTGATTATGGATAAGACGAGTCTGCAATCAGTTTTGATTGAACAAATTATTAAAATTTTTTGATCTGATGATATAAATATTTCTCCGTTTCCCACTCTGCTATCTTGTCCTATGTATGGTTGTCTGATAAACGAGATATATGCTTAGAAAAAAGAATGAAATCTTCAACTGAACTTTATTTAAGAATCTTATTATCTCTAATCACTGGGAGAGCAAACTATTGAATGGTCCACTATGGCATTTATTTAATAGTCACTTTTGCTTGAAGAATAAGAGAAACATTAAAATTCACAGAGCGAAAATAAAGTTTTGACTTATTTCTTTTTTTCTAGACAGAAGTGAACAACTTTCAAAAAAACAGTTAAATTAGTTGGATATTGGCGTACTTGAACAATTAAGTCGTTTATCATTGAGAAATGAGTAGAAAAGTATTGCAATATTTTACAAAGAAAACTGATTTTGTAGTCAGATATTTCTTCCAAAGCGCTTTTTATCTGTACGTAATCAGTCGCATTTTTATTAGTAAATAAAAAAGGAAGATTTGTTTACGAAGCAGTCTTTCTGATGGCCTCGATTCTTCACAGAGAAAAGTCGTCCGTTACTTTTTCTATCAAAATCAATGATCATTAATCCTTTTTCGATTTAATTTATTTTTCAAGTTCGAAATTTTTTTATTGTTGTTAAGGTGCCCGTAATTCGAAGTTTCAGTAAATTTTTCTTTTTGATATATTTATATATGGTTGGATAGAGGACATTTGAGCTGAGTAAGAAAAAGTTAGTTTTCATTTTTGAAAAAACTTTTTTTAAGAAAGAAAAGTTTGACAAATTTTCAAGGACTGATTTTACTCAAAATCATTACAGTTTAAAAAAATTCAAAGTTTGCTTTTTCTCGCTGCTTTCAAGTTTTGAAACTAACTTTTTTAAATTCAGCATTGAAAACTAAGAATAGAGAAAATGTTTGATTGATCTCAAGCCTACAGACTGATTTAGCCTGCTTCACTTGAATTGATCCTCCAAAACGACAGTAGATCATTTTGCAAACCTATCCAGCGTTTTGTGTGAATACATTTTGCCATTTCTCTTATCTCATTCGAACCGTCAAACTGTCAGCTTTAACATGACGTGTCGTTTCTTTTTAACTTTGTTTCCTCACTGAGAAAATTCATTTTTTCTAGATCAGACGCGAAAAAATCGAAATTCTGCCCATAATTCTCATTTTTCTCCACCAGAACTCATTTTTCATGCAATAAAATTATCATATTCAGAATCAGCCTCAAAAACTCAGTCGAATGGTGTATTCTTTCGTCGTATCCGATAACTTTCGTTTTTTCGAATTTTCACCAAAACTCAACGAAAATTTTTGAAATATATATCATTCGACTAAGTTTTTGAGGCTGATTCCGAATATGATATTTTTATTGCATGAAAAATGAGTTCTGGTGAAGCAAAATGAAAATTATGGGCAGAATTCCGATTTTTACGCGTCTGATCTAGAAAAAATGAATTTTCTCAGTGAGGAAACAAAATTAAAAAGAAACAATACGTCATATTAATTTTTTGAAACTGTAGCGATTTTGAGCGGTCCTTTAAAACTTGTCAAAATTTTCACCCTTAAAAAAATTTTCAAAAATGAAAACTAACTTTTTATTACTTAACTCGATGTCCTCTATCGAACCACGTATAAATATATCAAAAAGAAAAAGTTACTGAAACTTTGAATTATGAACACCTTTAGACAGAAGCATAGTTTTTACATGCAACACTAAACTGCTTTACCTTGAATAGTTATTACAAATGAGCTGTTCTATTTTTATGTCGTATATGCTGAGTAGACTATTGTATAAAACAGAGTTTCCTGTTGAGATTTTAGTCGAATTGTTGAAACATTGCTATGAGTGATTCGACACATACAATTCCACGTGAATTATCCAGCTATAATCAAAATAATGATCCTAAACCGAGCCAAGAATTGGAACAAAAGGAACATCAAGTCACAGAAAAAGATGATGCTCAAAAACCGAGACAAGAATTGCAACAAAAGGAACATCAAGTCACAGAAAAAGATGATGATCAAAAACCGAGACAAGAATTGCAACAAAAGAAACATCAAGTCAAAGAAAAAAATAATGATCAAAAACAATTTGATATTAAAAATTTTCAAATGAAACGATTTCTTTCACACAGTGAAGATATAGTGTACCTTAATGTTGGTGGTAAACAATTTGTTACATTAAAATCAACGTTAAACTATATTCCAAATACTGTATTGGCTCTACTTTGTTCGCCACAATGGGAAGACAAAATACCGAAAGATGAAAATGGTCATCTGTTTCTCGATTGTGATCCTATACCATTCAGACATTTATTATCACAATTGAGAGAATGGTCATGTAATCGTAAATCAAAAAATCATAAAAAAGTATTTGATTTACCATCCGACGATCCAATGTCCTTTCAAAATTTATGTCGACAACTTAGTTTTGATCGAAAATATGTTAATGGTATCTATAGACAAGACCAGTTTAATAAAGTGTGTGGAAATGCTATTTTAAAAGATAATGGACTCGTTGCTACTCAGTTAGGTAACTATCATCATTACTGTGAAATACGTGGAACGAATTTTTACTCAACTGGTATTCATCGTTTACTATTAAAAATTGAACATCAGCGACGAATTCGAACATTAAAGAATCAAACCGATGCAATATTTATCGGTATCATATGGTCATCAACACCCATGCAAGAACGTTCATTTGATTCTCCAACAGCTTACGGTTGGACAGGTCAAAAACAAGTTTATTTAAATGGAATTGTTGCATATCCACAAGAATATGGTGGGTGGGATAGTGATCTATGTTTAAATGATACTGTTGAACTCATAATGAATTGTAATGAGAAAAAGATACAATTGTTCAATCAACGTACGAATAAAGTTTATGAAATAATTGTAGATACAGTCACCGGTTGTCCATTTCCATGGCAATTGCATATCAATCTTTATTATCCAGATGACCTTGTACGAATTCTATCGTGATTAGTCTCTGATCTCATTATTTCTTTGTGAGGATTCTTTGTTAGGATTGTACAGAGAGTTGAAATTAATTATAAAAATCCAAATAGTTCAATACTCATCATCATTTTTCTTATCCGTCATAAATCATATAGATTCTTTCTTCTCTTCCAATCTATGTGTCTCCAATGTCCCTTCGGTTTTATGCCATCGTTGTCCATCTTGATATCCGATCCTTATTTTCGTAATAACAAGGATCGGATATAAGAATAAGCCAGTTTTTTAGAAAGTGGAGATGGTAGCAAATATTTTATTCAACTATATACAAACCTGTCTACTACTTCTGTTATCGGACTTCGAATATTAAACATTTTTCTAATGTGTCCAAATGTCCATGAGATTGAAAGCGATGTTCATATTCTTACCAAATACATAAAACGACAACCATGACAATGAGGTTTACTATTCTCATGTGAATAAAACAAACACATAGGGACCAGTAACTGTAAATAATCCATAATGACTCAGATTTATTCCTGTCTAAGTAAAACTTTACTTTGATAACTAAAAGAAACTACAGAGTTGAGACCCACATAGTTCATTATTGAAGTTAACACCCGATTAACAGATGCTTAAAATGAGCAACATGCTTGATTAAGAGAAAAAAAATATTTCTTATTAGCTTATAGCATCATCAAAACATAAAACAACAAATTTCAAAACAGTTTAAAAAGTAATATTGACTACGCTAAATCGAAAAGTAACAGTAATGATCAGTAGATTGCTAATAAATTATTGCATGTAAACCACTGGAAACAATGAAAGACGCTATAAACATGAAATGGGTATATCTGTCGTATTGACTAATTTGTCTACATATTTTATCTAATAGTCTGACTAATTTGTTTATATATTGCTTCGCCCGCTTGTATCGCTCCTTCCATATAGCCGATCCATTGTAAAGCTGTCTCCGTACTTGCACACCAAATTCGTTCATCTATTATCGGTTTTCTCAGTAAATGATGATATTTTGTCAAGACTTTGGGTGGAAATGTTCCTGCATAACATCCGCCACTATATATTTCATTTGGCCAGTATTGAATACAAGTTTTAATTGGAATTGCATCAGGACAGCTATACAATCGTTGATATTGTGTTGTAATTGCTTGAATTAAATCTTCTTCAGGTCGTTTACTCCATTTGGAAGCTAAATCGCCAACAATAAGACCAATTAATGCATGATGAGTGTCATTGTGAAGGGGAGCTTCGAACAGGTTATAGCAAGGACCTTCTAGGGCTTGTTCACTACTTAATTCTTCATTAGTTACGTTGTTTATTCTCCAAAAGGCTTGATTGTAAATAAAGATTGTTTTTATACATTGACCCATGATCATTGATGAACTTAATTCTTGATATATTTTTGGCAATTTTGGTGAAAACTGAATTTGCAAAAGAAGTGTATGTGCAAACGCTAATAATAGACGTCGACACGAATACTCTCGATTTGCAGTTATTACTCTGATAACTGTGTCTTCTTCGTAGTTAACAGTTTGAACAGGTTGTTCATATTCAATGCAATCTTGTCCATATTTTCTAGCTAACTGCTGAGCTAACAAAACAGAAATATTTTGTGCTCCAGTTGTTAATTTGTAATGTTGAGCACCATTCACTCCATCATCTAAACTCGTATAGCCGCCAGGAATCGATCTAAGAAATATTAGCCAATATAATAACGATAATTTGTCGGCACTACAAGCTAACAAAATAAAAATAAAAAAGATAACAGTTACCCATTAGAATTTTACCCTAGTGTTCCACACCTGTCAATGAAACTACTTCCAGTTCTAATTCTTGTCTCGCATTTTCATATTTCACATTTTGTCTGAAATATTCTCCAATGGATATCAGATCCCATTTATTTGCTTGCTCACATTTAAATGGTTCTTCCACCGTTAATAACAATGCCATTTGCTCTAATCTTCTATTTATCTCAATTACTTCTTGATTTTCTTCCAACGTTAATGGTTTTCTTCTCAATACTTCATAGAGTCCCGGCTCTCCAGCTCCACTTTTTTTCGTCACCCATGTTTGTTCCACTAGTTCAAGTCCTTCCAATTCTTGAATTAGGTTTAGTACATTATTCTGTGATGGTCCGATCCATTGGCCACCGATGTCAACTACTGTAGAGTGGGAACCCAGTTGAAAATGTTGATTTTGTGTGCGACCACCCACACGATCTCGCGCTTCTAATATTTTAAAACTAATATTTTCATGACCAGTTTTTAATAAAGTTCGAGCAGCGCAAAGACCAGTTAGACCGGCTCCAACAATGATCAGATCATAAATCATTTGTCAAGCTTTTATTTGAACAGCAGGACAAAAAACAAGATCCTAAGATGGAAAACAAGAGATTTACAAAGAAAAAATTCATATAAAAAACGTGAAAGGGTTTTACTCAGCGCTCACTGCAAATACGTAGCCTTACATTAGCAAACTAATGCATAAAGGATCGACTTTGTAGTTTTAATCATGATTTCCATTCCCATCAAAACAGGAGACAGAGAGAGCTCTTTTTACAATGGTCATGATAGTCACGGAGCATATAATAGGTGGGATTGCTATTGTCTTTCTTTCCGTGATACTAGCATTATATGAGAAATTCAGATGAAATTTAACATTTATTTTTGAATCTCTTCCTTGAATTCCTGCTACTTCCTGATATACTTACTATTCTGCACTATACACGGCACTGTTGTGATAGCAGTCGTTTCTGCTAGGCAACAAAAGTACTACTACTGTTCACCGGATTAGGACTAATAATTTTTTGACGTTTTCCTAAAAATAGGTAAATATTCACCTTTTTTCAATACTTTATTAGAATTCTTTTAGAAAGTTTTGGAGAAGTCTAAGTTTTTTGTAGGTCTTGATCTATTTAATCCGTTTAATGTTGTTTCATGCAAACTTTATTAAATCACCAAAAATGAGTTTCATTGAGAAAACGAGATTATTTATCATCAAATACAGTGTGTGCACGAAGTATCTTTCAAATATACCATTCGAAAGAGCAAAGTCTCCGCTTTCTAATGAAAAAAGAATTATTAAAAAAAGTACTCTCTAAAGGTCACAAAATTGAAAATTACAGATACCACCATGAATGATGAGTTACACATACTATCTTTATTTCATCACTTCTCCCAAAAAAAATGAAATATAACAGGCTTTGTCTTCTATTATTCACAGAATACACGAAATTCTTTGAAACAAGGTAAAGATAGTATGTATAACTCAACTGTTCTTTAAGTATTCAACTCAAAAAATAGCTCATTTTGTACAGAATTTTGTCTTCTTTAAGCGTGTTACGTCGAAAATTTTTTAGAGACGAGATTTAAGGCAAAAAAATACAAAATATAATGGATGTCACCCAGAGATTATGGCAGAAGCAGTTAGAAAACCAATTAAAATGAGCAGAAGAAACAGCCTGCTTTTTCGTTTCATAATTGCCTCTGATGTAGTTTTTCACGCTCTTTTTAACCGTATATTTAGAATTGAGTTTTCATCAAGTTTAACGGTCAAAGAGCGCATTTTAAATACATTTCATGGTGTTATCTGTAATTTCCAATTTTGTGACCTTGAGAGAGCACTTTTTTTAATTATTCTTTTTTCATTAGAAAGCGGAGACTTTGCTCTTTCGAATAGTATATTTGAAAGAGCTCCGTCCTTCCGCTACTTGAGAAATGTCAAAATCCATAGAGAAGAGAAAATGTCCGCATACTTTTTTCGTTCCAAAAGTCGACTGAGTGTAAATAAGACTCATTGAAAATCGTTAAAATTTTTTCAAGTGAATCGAAATGTAGAGCAGACTTTGCTTTATCCAATGATAAAAAAATATGCGAAAATATAAATGATCATACAGCCAAGGATGCCGTTGCAATGGACTTCGACGTTTTATTGCGATTGTTTTTCCTTGCCTTAAATAAAGTGCAAAAGAATCGCAATCAATAATTATCCATTCAAAATAAATTTGAGCAGGGGCAATTCGAAATGTACATAGACTACACTAGTGATTTGAATAGATGCGGCAAGGAAAAACGACCGCAGAAAAACGTCTAAAAGTCGCGAAAGGAAGCACTTTTTTTCCTTGGTCGTATGATCAAAGCGAATGTGTTCTTTGAAAACTGAAGAACAGAATATATGTTCTTCAGCCTATTTTCAGCTTATTTCATTTTTGTATAAAATAAATTTTAATTGATAAAAAGTCCATTAAAAAAAAGCTAAATTACGCTTAAAATTGAGCACCAATTGAGCACAGGAGGTGAACTCAGTATTTATTTGTTTGTGAGAACTACCTGAGGGGGGAATACCAGAAAGTCAGACTTTTATTTTGTTCACCAAAGTTACCCGCCAATACTCTTCCCAAAAATGACCATCGATTTTCAGAGGAAAGCTTATCACAAGAAAGAACTCCTGGTTTTAGAAGTTACCTGCAAAAATCAGCTGCCGAAAATGGCTGCCGTCAACAGTAAACTGAATAGAAGGGAAAACGATTCGTATTCGTCAAAAAATTGCACTTTCATTCACTAAAAGAAATAGCCTATTAATCTAAACACGACAGATGGCGTCTCACTACACTTTAGATGGTTTTCCCGTCCGGCCCAACTGTATTTTAGTCGGTAAAGCGTAAAACATCGAACAAGATAACGTTCTTTTTATTCTTAGCAAAGTACATCCTGCATCTAAAGAAAATTTTTGGATTACTTCAAACATCAAGCTGAGTTTCACCGTTCTCCGAAAAGTTAAAGTTGGTAAAAGTTTCCAAGCAATACAGGAGAAGCAAGCAAGGACGATATCTTGGACGATTTTATTCGTAAATTGTTTGATCCAACTTGTCCATGCGGATGAAAAAAGTCGTTCGAGGGTCACTCGAAAATAAGCCCTCGCCGAGGGCTCGACCCCTCGGAAAATGACCCTCGATATAAGCTTTCGTGGGGTATCGATTACGAGCCCTCGAATTTCAGATAGGTAGCGAAGCCTCGAGAAAAACTTCGAGCCGTCGAATTTAGATGTTCGGGACTTCCGAGCGCTCTCCCGAGGGTGCGACGACGGCTCGGAAATACCCCTCGAAAGCTTATATCGAGGGTCCGAAGTGCCATTTTCCGAGAGCTCGAGCTCTCGGCGGAGGCCCATCGAAAGCATATTTCTGAGCACTCAAAGTACCCCTCAAACAACTGGTTGGGTGAGAATCGTTTATGTTAGAAGATTTTGGGCGTCACCGCCCATCGTGGGTTAAGTTAAGCTAGAAGAAAACTGTTACGTAGTGTTTTGAACGCAACTTGCATACTTCTCTCTGTCAGTGCCAGCAATGAATTATGTTTTCATATTTTATTACCAAACATATTTCCATCAGAGAATGAGAACATTACGTCAAAGAATGAAAATTTCTAAAATTCCTGAATGAGATTTTCTACGTTTCCTAACAAAACGCTGGAGGAAGATCGCTACACTGTTAGAAATTTGTGTTCTTCCGTTCTTTGGGGAACATGGTGAAGAACACGAATGTGTTCTTTGAAAACTGAAGAACAGAATATATGTTCTTCAGCCTATTTTCACGTTTTTGTTCTTCAAAAAATTAGTTCTTCATTTTT